TCTTCCCATTGCACCTATGACAAATCCTATGCTCAGGCATTTGATCCAGTGTGATGCACATTGCGAGCTCTTTTTTTAAAATGTTCTTGTATATCCGTGGAATCGGCTTTAACTGTGTGAGCCTGTTAAGATGTAGACTTTTTTCTCAACTAATCCATTGTAATTGAATATTAACTCAAGTTTGAGCTCATGTGGAAATAATGAACAGGTTCTCTGAGTGCCACTTTCATTCGATGTGAGCATGCTCAGGATGGTGAAATAAATGGCATACTCTTTGTGCGGTTGCATGAGTAAATAACTTTCGGAGCAAGTATTTTGCTAATCATGTTAAATGAATTGAGCTAATTGTAATTATATACAATTAGAAGAGGTTTTGCAAAGCAGAAATTATTCTGGTATTTTTTAATTCTCTCCTGGAGTCCTCTTTAGTCGGGTGACAAGCTGAAACTAATGTGCTTTTCAAATTAGAGCATATGCCTCTCCCTGGGTTAGGCATAGAGGACATTAACAGATGTTCTTCATGCTTTTGTGTTGTGGGGTTTGGGTCTTTGAAATGATCCACCTTAATCACAAACCCAACCGAATATTAAAAGCTCTGTGTGTTGTAATAGCAGAAACGGAGGAGGGTTTGGTGGTGCTTGACTTGCAAACAGAGATGGTTACAGACAGCCACAGGACTATTTGTGCTAATGATATGTTCCACTTTGTATCGCTACAATGTGTATAAATGTTTGCCTGGGGGCTTCTTGCATGCATAACATATATTATTTGTTGAAATCACTTGGTTTATCTTACTGAGAATGCAGTAAAAATTCTAATCCAATCTGGCCACTAACTTTACCCAATATTTTATTCCAATTTTGTGTATATTAATAACCAAATAGATTGTTTTTAACATGATACCACCTTTTTGTTTGCTCATTATTCTTTTTCCTACCAAGAGATATCCTTGACTACCCCCTGCTTTCCAAAGCACCTTAGACTGCTGATTAAAGGTTTACTCAGCCAATCATCTAATGCTGCCACCGATGTGTCCTGCCTGGCACTAATGCAAGAGGTGGCTGGCGAAGGAGGTCATAGCCCACCGACCAACACAGAACACTTAGCTATACAGTTTTTATCTTCCACAGGTGGGGAAGTGGAGTGTGTCAGGAGGTCTTAACATCACAGAAGTGCCAAAGCGAAAAGGGATGAACATCACCGATTCTCTGGCAAACCGCTCGCTCGTCATCACCACCATTCTGGTAGGTCACATGCACAAAATGTATAAAAATGTCCTGTTCCTCACTTCTCCCTTGTTTTCCCACATCAAATACAAATAAATCCAAAGGATATAATTGGGTCTTGGATGTAATTGTTTGTTTTTTCATGCAGCCGGGAGAGAATCGCCTGCATTTTGCGGCAAACATCGCAGCATTAGAGAAATCTTTGTGCTCATATTCCTCTTTTCTATGTGACTGAGACATGACGTGCATACTATTTGCCAAATCAGTTGAGAACACAACAGCTTTAGAGATATTTCATGGAAACAAAAACACAATAGACTTTACAGCGTTCAGAGGCTTGAATAGAAAAAATAAACTAGAAAAAAATAGAAAAACTAGAAAAGAATAGAAAAATGGAACATTTTTAACATTGTAAAATGACAAGTAGCTATTGGAATCATTTAATTACACATTCATGATGCATGATCTAGGGCATGCCTTGTCTGGACTTGCATTGCCATTCATTTTTTGTTGTTGTATGTACTTAACTCTGTCACTGGCTGTCTTTGTCTTTGTGGAGCTATCAGGGAGGTGCAGGAACAGACATAGTCCATACAACCCTCTCAAGCTACAATGATACACACTGTTATTAATGCCTATATTGAACCACAGAGCTGTAATTATGACAAGCAAGGTCATGTTGGGCCATAATTAATGCCTATCAGATGCCATTTATGTTAATTTTGTCTCAGACTGAAGAAACGGAACAAGGATTTAAGTGTTCCAATTTTCAAATATTTCACTGAAATGTACCAGTTACTGACTTTATGTCTAAGTGGTGTAATGTAGCTTCTTTTGCCAAGTGTTACAACTGCACATTTCTCAAACATTTTTTGTGGGTGAGATTTAATTTAAAGCATAAAGTAAGATATTTAATTAGCTGTTTCTTGGGGAATTAATAGTTTAGGAACTAAAAACTTTCAAACTGTAGAAAAGATACTCAACTTTAATATCAGTCTCCCCTTGCAGCATAATTAAATTGCATCAAACTGATTCTCAGTGATGCATGAACAAGACGTCTGACAGCTTTATCACGATAACTCTTCAGAGGAGATTAAGGCACTTAATGTGTTTTTTTCCCCTTACATTAATTGTTTGCACTCCATTGCCTGTAATGTCTCTGCGCAGGCCCACCTTCCTCCTCTTTGGGTTATGCACACCCATGCTGCGACTGTGAGCGTAGAGCTTGTGTAAACACTTTGATTTGAGTCCAAACCTTGGGGAATAGCAAAAACCGGAAGGCTAGAAACAGATGGTAATGGCTTTCTCCCTTAACATGCAAACTTTTTGATCAAGTTAATTGGCCAACTTGAGCAAAGTTTGTTGCTAAGCATTTTGCTCTCTAAATGCATTGTCATCAAGTATTCATTTCTTCTTACTTATTCAAGAGGCCATCCTTGATGTAATGTCTGCAAGGCTTTAAACTGTATAACAGAAATTAATGCTACACAAACATTCCAGTTTAGTGAGAATAATGAGATAGATAGATAGATAGATAGATAGATAGATAGATAGATAGATAGATAGATAGATAGATAGATAGATAGATAGATAGATAGATAGATAGATAGATAGATAGATAGATTTGACATTCTGAAACTGTGAAAATGTGCCCACATGCCCACACAACTATGGGGTCTATTTTCTGTTCTCCCTCTTGCCTGCATCCACACCACCTTTGCCTTCCCCTATAAAACTAATTTCCTGAGGGAATTCAAAGTGCCATGGTAGCTTGTTTTTTTTCTTTGACTGTATCTTTTTGCCTGGTGTCACACACAAAAAGGGGGAAAGCACAATGAATGGGGTCACCTTCACAGGAAAATCAATTACTTTGCTTATGAGCTCAGTTAGTAAATTATACATCTGGCTTTCCAGAGTAATAAATTGCACTATGGCTTTTGTATAAATGGACCAACGTGTTTTGAAATGCCCAGCAGGACGTACAGGCCTATCTGGCAGAGAAAGGTAACAGGCACAAAATAAAGGAAATCATTTATGAGCATTTCAGTATTAGTCATTGTCACTGTAGGCATCAGCTCAGTTGCTCTCCCTTGCAGAATGGTAACAACTGGTGAAGGCACCATCGTGGGCATGTTGCATTTCACTTCTGCATTCTGATCCTAATCAGGCATTTATACTGCGCAAATTATGAGCAGGCCCCTAAAGAGTGTCAGATACCTGATCATAAAATTAACCGACCTGTGCACCAGTTAAATAGGTCAATGCACAGCCGTGGAGTGGGATAGGTTAGCTCAACGGTGCGGGCACGTTTATGATACAGTTTCAACAGTGCTTCAGTGTGCGTGCCCATTGTTTTAGGAGCGTAATCAGGAATGATATGCAGAAGGCAGTAAGCTAGGTTTTAGTTTCAACCTTGTTCGCAACTCTTGTCATTTACGTATCTGTGTAGGAAAACCACAACCTTCTTTCATATTTTAACATTCCCTGTTTCCACACACTGAACCTGAAGCTGCTGTCACTATTAGTTAAGTTCTACAGCTACTCGTCAGCTCAGATCACTTTGCTTCAATTAGGTGTATGTGCTGAAACAAATTGAAAAAGCTGACCTCACCACGGCTTCTCATTTGATGTTTTGGGTCTGTGCAGGAGGAGCCATATGTCATGCTTAAGAAGTCTGACAAGGCGCTGGTTGGGAACGACCGTTTCGAAGGATTCTGCATCGACTTGCTGAAGGAGCTGGCCGGTATCCTGGGCTTCACGTACGAGATCCGACTGGTGCCTGATGGGAAATATGGCTCTCAGGATGACAAGGGCCAGTGGACTGGCATGATTAGGGAACTTATTGAACATGTACGTTTGAGTTCTTTGTCTAATTTGAATTTTTCTCCTGTGTTATCTGAGACTGTTCTGTGCAGTCAGTTGATTTATTTCAGCATAAGCGCTGTAAATAGTGATGTTGGCTTTATTTAGTAGTAATGAAAAAAGCCTGCCAGCACCTGCAATGCCCACTAATTAACACAGTGTGACTTATTTGTTCAAATTCACCTTGATACGTGGTTAATGTGTTCAATATTTTTTGGCCTTGGTGGTTTCTACTGATCCACAAAGTTTTCAGGAATTTACAGCTGGAGCTATTCACCTTTCATGTAAATTCAGGTGGCCTGATGAAAAGATTTTATTAATTTTCAGTATTAATAGTAGATGTTTTTTTCTTTTTGCTTTTTTCAGGAAAACTTAGCAATTCATCAAATCTTTTTTCTTTTTCTTTTAAAAGCTAAATGGGAAATTGCTCATTCAAAATGATTTATTTTGTGTTTGTTACATAAACCTTTGCAGAGCTCTATAATCTAGCAAATCTGTGGATTCAAGCAACAACACTGGTAATCATCTTTCCGAGGGATAGTGGAACATCATCGACATTTGTGTCCGACTTAGAGCCTTAGTGGCCATGAACCAGTCTCCCATCGAAGTGATGGTGACAATTCTCAGGTGGCATTTCATAAGTGTCTCTGTCGGAACCCTCCCTTTGTCCTCAGCTCCATTAGATCAGCAATGTACTCAGCTGAAAACTTGTAATGGCTTAAATGACATTTAGTCCGGAGAATAGTATGGCAGGAGTCAATGGCTTGGTGCTAAAAGGGCTGGAAGACTAAGGCCCCCACTACAAGCACTTCTACATCGAAGCTTTTTGTCAATTCTGTGTTGATAACAATAACCTTTGGAGGAGCAAATGGATTACCAAAGGCAGAGCAGATGCATGAGTTTTATTTGTACGGCTTAATAGGGAGTATTTCAAAGGTGTAATTTTAATTCCATTTATTACATCTCAGATGAACAAATAAAAGTGGCGTGTTATTTGCTTAATATGACTGTCATGCGTTTCGTTAAAGATGCACAGTTTGGTGATTGTCTCCTGTAAATGAAAAAATATTAAACACAAATACAAAGTTGAATTTACTAATAGTTATACTTAGAAATTCAGCAATAGATGTAAACTTCTGTATTACAGCTTTAGTTATTTATTTATTTATGTTTTTTTTTTTTTAACATTCATTGCCTTTCCAGACTGTAGCAGAGGAGCAGATTGGTATCTAGACCTGCAGTTTATTGCTTTTAGCACCTATCAAATGATCAAGGATGCAAAATGACATTTTTGTGGATTTTTGGTCGGCTCTATTTTGTGGTCTAGTGCTTCCCTAACTCTGCCTGTGTGGATAAGCTGATCGGGATTCAAAACATAAACTCAGGAAAGCTCAAATAGTCTCAACTTTAGAGGATAAAAAGGTACAGATGCTGAAGAAAGAGAAAGAGAGAAAGAAACAAACCTACACATTTAGTCTTAATCAGTTCCATTCAGTCTGTACACCATTTACAATGAGATAGGGAAACTGAAGTAAATGTACAGTTACATTTCTTATCCCTTTAGTTTGTATTTGTAATTACTTTCCATTAACCACTTAAAACCCTATTTCCCTGTCTTTTTTCTGTGTTGATAAGCTCAGTAAAATAAGTGCTTTATTCAGAGGAGATACATAAAGATAGGATCTCAGGTATAAAAGGTGGAAATTGTGTTTTAGCTGATAATATGGTCCTGAAATACAAGATTCTTACCGTTATCTCACATTTTCTACCCTTATAAATCATAACTGAATTACAGAATAGCATAAAACGGTTATAGAACAAGGCTTAGATTTATTAATATCAGTTGCACCCTTTCATCTTTGTAGTCGAAGCTTTTCATGCAACAAAGGAGATGTGGAAGAAAAAAGTAAAACCTTTGTATATGACTATAATATTACGAGTTTTAGTCCCCATTTAATTGAAGCTTAAAAATGAGGAACCGCACAGTTGAAAAGTGCTTTAATTTTACCATTGTCCAACTTGCAGTTCTTTATTTTTCTGCAGTCGCAAAACTCTGCTGTGCCAAAGGGCATTGTTTAGAAGGTACTAAATGATGCAAAAGACCTTGTTAGATGTGATTAAGTCAAAATTGATGATCACTTTAATCATGCTGTGATGCAAATGTTAAAGCGTCCTTAGTAGATCATTTGTTTCTTTACAATTAATCTTTACCGAGACAGATACACTAGAAGGTTTTAGCCATTACAGTTCCTCTTTGTCTGAGCTGCTAGATAGTTGGGTAGTTTGTGGTAGAAAGGAACAGTAATTTGGTTAAAACATTTTGCATTCTCATCTTAGAAATATTCCATTTCAAAAAGCTTATGCCCAGAAGCGGATGGACAAATGTGATTTCGATTTTTAGCAGAAGCACCATGATGACCTGGCTGAGAGCGTAACTGATCCAGAGCTGCAGGGGCACCAGTAAAGCTGCCACAGCAGCCAAAACACCTCTGCCTTGCCTGTAAAAGCACCCTGAAGTGAATCAGTTACAGAATTGCACTTACAGAAAGTAATTTCCATCCATTAATTTTCTATACTTTTTATTCTCAGTGGGGTCGCGGGGGGGCTGGAGCCTATCCCATCTGACAACAGGCAACAGGAGGGCTACACCCTGGACAGGTCACCAGTCAGTGGCAGGGCCAAACAGAGACAAACAACCATCCACTCCTAGGGGCAATTTGGAGTGTCCAATTAGCCCTCACAGCAAAGACTAAACTACAGCTAACTGTGCGTCTTAGTGTGTGGGTGTACTTTATGTTCAGTAGATTAAACCTTGTGTAGATTGTAGGAGATAACATATTGATTCTTCAAGGCTTGTCAAAAAGGTGATGGGGGGCTGAATAGAGAGCATCATCATGCCCACTATCTGTAAACCAAGATAACACCATGCCATGTGGCACATATCGAGGCATTATCAGGTCATCTTGCTTTGGCCCAGTTTGTGCATAAGTTGGAAAAAAGAACAATGACATGTATATTAGTTCACCATGGGGATCTCTGAAGTCACACACTGGTTGATCTTGCCGCTGAGTGGCAGGTTGGTCCAAAGCTGCTGGTGGCATCAGAAAAGACAGGGAGCAGTATGTGATGTGCAAATATGAATAGTTTAAGCGAGACAGCAGATCTATGGCAGAATGCGCTGGTTTTACCGTCTTTTTTTTCTCCGAGGCTGCTGCGTATTTAGCCACCACAGGAGCGCGTAATCTGCGATACCACATGCAAAGTAGAAATGTTTTCTTTTTGAACGTTGTTTTCTTGTACGTTGCATATATCACATGTATCTAACAGAGGAATTGTCAAATCAATGGAGGAATGTTAATTCACGCTGAGAATAACCTGAGGGTCTTAACAGGAGAATATGCATAATGTGAAGCAGAGTACATTTTCTAACAAGGGAATTACAAGATATCCATAACTCATTGTTTTTTTTTATTGCATGCTATAATCTATATGACAATATAAGTAAAATATTTCGCTTTGGCATGTATAAGGCCCAATATACTTTTATTTTTTTTCCAAAATGAAGGAGGTAAAGGAGACCTCCCCTTGTGAGTTGGGTCATTTCTAAGAAAAGAAGAGGTATCCAAGCATGAAGCAAGCAGCTGGTTTCATTAACCTCTTGTCCAGTTTTTCTTGTGGGAAATAGTTGGGGATGGGAGCAATAAGAATGTAACCTTGTGAATATGCAGTTGTACACATATTGTACAACTCAACCTATCAAGCTCAGTCATGTACATTGAAAATTTTGCAGATCAACTATGGGAAGCTTCCATACTTTAAACTGAGTAACAGAAGAAATTGTCAAAATGTGACTACAAATCAGGCAAAATTGATATTCACTCTGTGCTATTTTTCTTTGATTTTCCGACACAGAGGGCAGACTTGGCAGTGGCTCCCCTCACCATCACCTACATGCGTGAGAAGTTCATTGACTTCTCCAAGCCTTTCATGAACACGGGCATCAGCATTCTTTACCGCAAACCCAATTCCACCAACAACGGCTTCTTCTCCTTCCTGAACCCCATGACTCCAGACATCTGGGTGTATATTCTCCTGGCCTACCTGGGTGTTAGCTGTGTTCTTTTTGTCATTGCTCGGTAAGTACAGGGGTCATAAATTGTTTGTGCCTTTAGTCCTTCATGCATCCCTCTGTGGTATTTTCAGTAGTCATGAGCTTTCAAGTGCATGAGCTGATTTATTTAATTTGATGGCTGCTTGCTTGTGATGAAGACAGCTATGTCTGCATGTGCTCTATAAAGCTCAGCAGAGGGAGGATTGATATAAAAAACCTCCAGTTGAGTTGCAAAGTATTTTTCAGCGTGCTAGTTTACTGTGTGAAGTCTATGGAAACTAGCAAGGCAGCTGAGAATGACCTGTGAAGAAGTAAAAAAGAATAACTCATCTAATTATCAGATTCAGCTGCATAAATAGTAATAATGAAAATCACACACACCTGAAGTGAAATTACATTGGAGGAGGCTATTTCTGGTTAATAATCATCATTACTTATTGAATGGTGAAACATGTATAGATTGAAAGTATCTTTTTTTCTTCTTTTTTTGGTCATGAATACGATGAATATCCTTTTGGTATCGCTGACTGAATTTCCTGCTGCTTTTCATGCAAAGTGGTGCTTGAGGAAGTTAAAGCAGCCATTGGAGTGAGTTTTGGGCCTTGAGAGCAAACAGCTGCACTCCTTTACCCTCTCACATTGTTGTACGAGTTAACTCATTCTGGAGGGGCTTCACATAAGTGCAAAAGCATCTTAAATTTTTGCAGTCGTGTTAAAGGCTAACAGCGGAACGCCTAGAGTGGCATACTTTAGGTCTCTTAAGAATATATCAAATGGATATGGGGGACAATGTGACGACTACTTGAAGCAAAAACGGGTGATTATAAATGGTGTCCCCGAGGTGACGAGACCTTTCCTGAACAGTAATTATTACACTGCTAAATATCTTTCATCAGAGGTATGAGTGGTTTCAATAAATAAACCACACAATGCATGTTGTTCTGTGACACGTGCATCCCTGAAAGATTACTACTGACAAATGAGAATGGGATTTGGAGGCTAACCATGCCGAAATGTTTTGTGTCGTAATAGCAATATTCCAAAATATGTGAAAATCTTACTAATTTACAGACGTAACTGAACTAAATGTGGTAAAACACAATACAGCTATTCAACTGGTTTAACATTTTCTCATAATAAGATAGATGATGGTCTCACTCATCTATTTGGTGTGCTGACAACCTATTGATTTGCGCTTTTATGTCCTTTTTCTATTCTTAACAAATCCTGCGCAAGCCAGACAATAAGGTGCTGTCTCTCAGATCTGATACCTGCGTACACTAAAGGCAAAGAGAGAAGAATTTATTTTTCTGTGCTGTAGGGCTCTATTTGATCTATGAAAATGGAAAATATTTAATATTTTAAAATCAGATGTGGGCAAGCTTGGAATACACTTTTTGAATAATAAACATTTAAAAATAAATATATGTATATATGTATACATTTGAGGTTTGGAGGTGCCTCAGAGAATAGGTTTTTGGACTGATGCATCCAGCAGAAAGCAGTCATACAAACATGGAGGAACCTGTGGACCAGTCACTGATGGACTAATCACAAGACTCTTGAACTCTTGGTAGATTAAGGTTAAGCAACCTAATGTGACAGTTACAGCTCAAAACATCAAAGAATCATGGAAACTTGACACAAAGCAGTTATAGCAAATTCCAACTGTTCAGTACATTGATTTAATATATTTTCAAACTTTCTTCATGAGTAAAGATGTAACAGCTCTTATATATGTTTGACATTATTTAAAGATGTCCCCCATTGGGTGGATATAATCATAGACATTCATTAAATGCTGTAGCTCTGCCAGTATTGATTGTAACAAAAACAAAGAAGATTACCTAACTTTGTTTTTTCTGAAAGATTTTTAATATATAGTAAAAAAGAAAGAACCGTTTCTTTCGAAAGACAGGGTGGAAGTGTTTTGGATCCCAAACTTAATGATATGTATCTGTATACATTTTGTTTTGTTTGTGTTATAAAAACACTATAACGGCATTTTTCAATGTTAACAAAATTAATCATCTATAATGATCAGTCTATGACAACAGTACAGCGCGTTGTGAAATTCAGCCTCAATTGAAAGTTTAGAGGGTGTTCTAGCTCTCTGTTCTGCTACAGTGCCACACTATTTCCACATCACTCCTTACAGTCTTGTAAGCATGTTTTCTTAAACAAGCAGATGGTTCTGCGAGACAGCAAAACCGTTTAGAAATGACCGGAGACACCAAAACTACTGAGTCAGCACTGTTACTTTGCAGATGTAGGAACTCCAATCAAATTATTAGTGAACAGCCTCGGCTGCATGCATCTTGCCTATGACTAATGTTTCCCCTACTTCTAGTGCATGTTCTGTATATTATTGTAAGAGCATGGCTTTCAATTTAAGATTAAACTGATATCATTGAGTCAATTCATTGAAATGGTAGCAAGTGCCACATTTGCACAACAGCTGCCCAAGGCCTCTGTGGTCACTGCAAATGCCATGCAGATGAGGCTAGAATTTTAATTCAGCCAGTAAGATAGAAACACTTGTGTGACTTGTGAGTCACT